CAGTTAACTATTTGTGACTCACCAAATGTCCTAGAATAGAATAGGAGATATTTATTGTTGTTTTAATTAAACACAATTTTAATTTATAGCAGTATCATGTCTTACCATATTTCACTTTTTTCATAATTTTAAAACGGTATCCAAGAGAAGAGACAAGTCGTTCACAAACTATGGCATTTATTTCAAACAGAGGCTTCTGCTTTGCTTACATTTTTACAATAAATTACACAATGACCATCATCAGATGAGCCTAATAAATACTATTTTCCCCTCAGTAAGCTCCATTTCTCTTTCTAAATCTGTGCTGCTCACTGTTTTCCACATTCAGGCTCATACAGCTTCAGATTCAGGTGTTTGTGGTTGGAAAACAGCCGAGTGGCATTCAGCACAACCATTCAACAAACGTAAAACTATGAAAAGAATAAAATAGAATACAAACTAATGCAAACAGGAAATAAAAAAGGGGGAGGGGATCAAAAAGAATGATTGGGATTCGAACAAAAACAGAAAGGAACTTAAAAAATGAAGAGTAAAACGCTGAAACCCTCAGTTTTTCCATTCAAACTACAGTTAAAACTGTCTGTACAGAAAAAGTACATAATATTAACAGTGCAAGATATTAAATAGCTTGACTCAAAACACTTCTCAATATACAAATGTATAACAAAAGCATACAATTACATACAAGTGCCGAACAAAACGTAACTTCGGGGKTTTTTTGTACAGTATAGAGGGTCTATACAAAGGAAAACACCRGAGATGTCTTCAGAAATGTTTTACACGTACATCACTTTATGATATAAATGCACATTTACAATATCTCTACCTTTAAACCGGTAATAGTACAGAAAACAGGTCAGGTGGGGATGAGAAAAATACCTCAGAACTTCTYGTTTCTGCTTTTTGTAATGGCAGTAATGATCTGCTCCAGTTATTGACGTCATCAGTGACTGGACGGGGATTTAAACGGGTCGTGAAAACATTATAGGATAAAAAACGCAGGTTAAAAAGCAAAATTGCGTGATCGTTCATCACTTTTATCATTGCACACGTGTTACTGCCAATGTGGACAGTAAATACCGAAGCTGGATGAGAACTCAGTAGTAGGCGATCCAGGACACGAGTTCGGCTTCTCTGACTCAGACGTAGCCCTTCACTTCCTGCTCGCTCACAGCATTCATCAGTCTTTTTWAAAATAAACGGGGACACGTAATTCCAGGTTTGAGCCGAAGGATCGGGAAAAGAAAAGAAAAGGTTTTGTCCCCCGCGGAGAAAAAACAAAAGGCACTACAGTATCGTTCCACGTTCATCCGCCGAGGTTAAAAAAATAAAAAAGGACCAAAACGTTGGTTTGAAACCTCCATCTTGCCATAAGACGCTACGTTATTTGGGTTTAACCGTATGAAGGCTTTACGGAGAAATGTGGCAAAGTTACCGCCTTTTTCTACGCAAACGTGACAATTTTTCTTCTGAACGGGAACCCCGACTAGTTCTAGTAAACCTTAACTTCAGCTGTAAAACAAAGACAGTTAATAAACTGTGGCTGTCTGTGTGACATTTTAAATTTAAAAAACTAAACAGCCTACAGTATTTTTGCAGTGTTTGTTTTTTACATTTGAAGTAAATGTTTATTAAAATCATCTAATGTTAGAACTTGTMTGGGTAAAGGTACTCGCTGCAAATCATGAACAGATGAGTCAAAACAATATTTTTTGATGCGTTGGTACGTGTTTACGYGAATAAGTTAACCCTAAACTTTAGTCCAGGAAGATCTTTTCTTAGTTTCATTCTTTGCGGCGAGTAGCTTTAGCAGTAACACGGTAAACACGTACTGAGCCGCGTTGAAAGGATCCCCTGTACCGGTATTATTAAATGGAAACAGTTATTGCTTGCTAAAAATTAAAAAAAGAAAAGCAAACGTTGGAAATGTTCAATTAATCAAAAGTAAAATTAGACAAATCTGTAGGATTTTTTTGACAAATTATATCCCCTTACACAATCGTCGTAAAAAGTGCACTTAAGTGCCGTTAGCTTGCCAAGGAAACAGTTGTCAGTAGAAAATAGTGCTTGTTTCGTGTTAGAGTCTTGAGTCTGTTTTGATTTTTGATTTTTTTTGTGCCCCAGCGGTTAGTGTTGTCGGGTCGACTCGTCCGTCCGGTGACCCCGGGCTGCTGGTTAAGTGCTCAGTGCGGTTTGCTTCCTGCTGCTTCGTCCTGTCACCTGCACTCCACCGACACGCCCGAGTTCTGAGACGAGGAGGACGAGGACGACACCGGAGGGTCTGCGAGCGTCAGCATGACGGCCGCCGTCAGCGAGCTCGACGACGGCGAGGAGGAGGAGGAGGAGGAGGAAGAGGAGGCCGCCACTGCACCTGTGGGATGAAAACAGGAACTCGTTAGGGTATTAGTTCCTGATGCGTAACCACGTTTATTTTACGTTTACCAGTTTAACTTACTTTCCCGCTCCTTCTTCTTCATGCGTTTTCTCCTCCTGTCGATGGAGGCCACCTCAGACTTGAGGGAGAGGTAGTGATTCCTGATGTCTTGAAGTTTCTCCTGAAGAAACGAAATCCTCTCCAGGCTGCTCATCTTTTCCAGATCAGCTACGAAGAGTTGAGAAAATCAGATGAGTAAAACRAGAATTCAACCATTTAATACCTTTAGCTTCGATGAATCACTAAGTTAATTCATTTAATTAATATGTCAGCCTTTAATGAAGTCTGGAATAAATTTCTCAAATATCTCAATCCCCTAAAGGCCAATGACTCATGYCATAAACAAATTCTGAATACTTTCATGTGATTTATTTATTTATTTATTTGTTTACTCATTTATTTACTCATTTATTTATTTTTAATTAATTTTATGAACTTATATACAATATTTATACAATATGTTTTTGTTAATGACTTTATTTTTTTATTTATATTACAGTTATGCAT